TCCCTTCCACTCCCGCCGAGTCCCTGGGTGGGGGAAGGGGGAGCGCCAGCCTCGCCTGCAGCTACCGCCTCGCTGGAGCCAAGGCGCTTCTGCAGAGCGCGAGCCCTCGCTCATTATGCAATTATGTTGCTCTGACTTTGCCTGGACCCTAAATTGCCAAGTCCCGGCGGAGGAGACACCGGAACGAACCCCGCTGTTTCCCTCTTCCTATGCGCGTTGACAGCACTCCGGTGCCACGAATGCACCGTGAACTGAGAAAATTCAGACCCCCGGATATTCCCTGGGCACCCTCTGCACAGGGCTCGTGGACACGTCCAAAATTCGGGGATGGGGGTGGGGGCGGGGAAGATTCCCAGGCCCATTTCGCAGATGAGAAAACGAAGGACCCATGAGATGGAGGGATCTTCTCTACCCCAAGTCAGGCAGTCGCAGAGCTGGGCTGAACCACACTGGCTTGTCTGACTTCAAGTTCAATGCTCTCCCCAGGAAAGCAGAATCCCCAGAAGGGGTCCAGAAAGGAACCCATAAGGTTTGTGGGGGCCAGGGTGGGTCCCCTGTGCATGGCCACTCGGGTTGCTTAATGTATGGGGGGGGGGCGGAATCAGCCCTCAACGTCTTTCAAGGGATGCGTGGACCTGGGAATCTGAAAACTTTTAAAGATGGGACTCTGTGCGCTCCTCTTGGGGACCAAGAGAGGCTCAGATTCACGTTCTGGCCGCGCTTCTGGAAGCCCGGAGATGGGGGATCCCCCAGACCATCTTGGTGCCACGGACCAGCATCCCCCAGCAAGCTTGTTTTCTTCCCTTAAGGGGGGGAGTTGTGGCAAGTTCAGACTGCAGACCGCGCCGCGAGAAAGGGATATTTGCGGTGCCACGGAGGCTAAGGGGCTGGAGACCCTGGGTACCGGGGAACCTGCCCAGCGCTCGCTCAGGGTGCCTGCGCGAAACCCTGCGCTCTCTTGGGAGTTCCTAGGCGGACCTGCCTTCGGTCCCTGGGGCTGGAAATACCCAGCGCGCCCCAGACGGGGTTTCCACTCTTCTGCAACCGTTTCTATCTGTGGAGACTCCCACCCTCCCCAAGTTCCAACGCCAGGTACTTCAGCTTTAACAACCATTCCTCTGCTGGCTTCCCGTCTTAATAATGGCTCGTCTGGCTGCAATGGCGGCTCAGGCTGTCCTGCGGGCGGGTTGGAGGCGCCAGCCACTGCGGACCGAGGCGGGGTGGCAGGAAGAGGCGTGCGCAGGTCTGGTGAGAATTAAGTCTGGGGGTCCCCCAACGCGAAAGGGAACAGAGCGGTGCCTGGAACATAGTAGGCTTTATTGACTGAGAGGGCAACATCCTTGCAGAAATCCCCCCGGAAGGCTAAACTTGGCGCTTGCTCAAATGTGTCCTCCTGGAAGCCTGAAGTTAACCTTCTGGATTAAAAGAAAAACAAGAGTTTGTGCGAGTTTGGGGGGAGGGCTCATGCAGAGAGGACACGCAAAGGCGGGGAGCAGTCGCCTTGGGCTGTCAGTGTTGTTTTTTTCTAGGGGTCGGTAGGGGTCTTAATTGGGGGTGTGAAGGCGCTCACATTCTGGCAGCTCAAAATTAGTTCCACAAACCCTGCCGCATCGGCTTAAAGCAGCAAAGCATTCCCTCCACCCCACCTGGCCTCCTGTGGGAAAGGCAGGGCTGCGGGGTGGGAATTGTCTGGATTAGCTGTCTGCAGGCATCAAACCATTTGGGCGATTCGCTTTGTTTTCGGAGACAGGTTAAAAGGGGGAGAAAAAAAGAAAGAGCCGGTTCTGGGTCGCCTGAACAAGTGTCAATTTCAGCTTAAAGTGAATTGGAAAATTGAGCCTAATTATCCCAGGTAATTGCTTCAATTCTCCACTTGACTTTGCTAATGCAGATCTGTCCTCCGTGTGCAGAAAGACAGCCCCTCCTGCCCCGAAGAGCCTGTGGTCACCTCGGAAAGTTGCTGGCGTAAAAACCACTATCGCCCGGAAAAGCAATCGTAGGCGGGAAGAGGTGGCAAGAAGTGGAACTAACTCGAAGACGAAATCAGTGCCGAGATCCATTCTTGTAGCTTAAAATTAATTTATTTAACAAATATAGCTATAATATAAATGATAATAAAATTTCAAATATACAGTATATTACACCCAATCCCTTCCAAAGGGATTCTCGAGAGCCACACAAATGTACTGTTAAATAGAAAGAGAATTTTAAATTTTTATTTTACAATTTTTTTTTCTGGGACTGGTAAGAGAGAGGTCCCTTCAACCTACCTTCGCAATGCATCTGTGTACACCCCCGCCCCACCCCCCTCCAGCCCCAGAGCAAACGCTTGGCTGCTCAGGCCAGAAGTGTTCCCACGGAAGGACCAGGATCCATATCTCCCGGCATGCTCTTCTCTCCCAGGATCCTCCATTCCAACATCTTCAAACTTGAATTTCTCCGTGCTTTCCCCGCCTGGTATCAGGACAGGAGGCAGGGGTGCTGGAGAAGTGGCCTCTGGTCCTGACCGAACAGCTAACTCTGGGGGCCTGGTGGGTCAATGTCTTAACCTCTCTGGCCTCAGTTTCCCCATCTGTAACACGAGGGGGGTGGGTCTAGATTCTAGAATAGAAGGGACCCTTCCAGTCACATTTTTGGAAGAGGATCGGACTTCAGAGAGTGAAATCAGGGAGCGACCTAGGAGACACCAGAGCTGAGCGGGACCTAAAGGAAGGAGCCAGGTGGTGCTGAACAGGGGAGCTCTTGGGGTGGGGAGGCCTCTGCTGCTTGCAGAAGGCGAGGGCTGGAGGAATCGGCTGGTGCCACGGGTGGGCAGCCCTGGGGCCCTCTATGTCAGGTGGTACATGCTGTAGCCTACATGAGCCGTGTAGAGTCCCACGGGCGCCACGGGCAGCGCAGCCAATGGAGGGTTGGCTGCAGCTGCCACAGCCGCGGGGCCGCCCAGCGGGAAGGAGAGGCCAAAGGCGGCCGGTGGCAGCATGGGCTTCGCGGCCATCTTCAGCTTCTCCAGCTCTGCCTCCTGCAGTCTCTTGGCCTTGGCGCGGCGGTTCTGGAACCAGATCTTCACCTGCGTCTCGGTGAGGCTGAGCGAGCTGGAGAACTCGGCGCGCTCGGCGATGGACAGGTACTGCTTCTGGCGGAACTTGCGCTCCAGCGCCAGCAGCTGCGCGGTGGTGAAGGGCGTCCGCGGCTTGCGGTTGGTCTTGTGCTTGCGCAGGGTGCATGCTGGGGGGCTCAGGCGCCCTAGGAGGCCGAGAGAGAAAGAAGCAGGGGGTTAAGAGAGCGCGCGCGGGAGCGTCATCGGCCCCCTAAAAACTAGTTCATGATGGATAACAATGCCGTCTATTCATTTGGCCCTTGGAAAGTATTTTCTCCACTTCCCACCACCACCCAGAAGAGGAGACGTTCTTGTCTACTTTTTGCAAATGAAGAAACGTAAGAGTTCAGATGAAACATACCCGGGTTCAAATCCCGAGCATAACTGGGGAGAGGTGAATCGGCCCAGTGCGGATGGCCGCGATGGCGGGCCTGTTCCAGCCGGACCTTCTCCCACTGCCAGGCACATGGGGGCCATGGCTGTTACTAAGGCTGATGAAACACCCGGACTGAGGCCCTGCGCCCAGTCCAAGACCACACCGGGTATGATGGCCGAACGCCGACCCTGTCCACTGAGTGCTCGGCGCTGGGCTAGGCCACTGCGGCAGAATCCAGATCTCCAAGATCCAGTCTTTACCGTGGAGCAGTGAGTTCCCACCCGGCTCTAGGGGCAGTCCCGGACACTGCAGGTGGAGCAAGGCCGGGGTCCCAAGGTCACACCGAGGCCAAGTCCTGCGGTGTGGAGGGGGGTGGGAAAGAGACTGCATTGGAAGGGGGCTTCTTCTGATCCTATGATGATCTCAACTGCCTCTTGGGCCTCTGGTCAAATGTGAGGTCCAGTGGGAAGAGGTTGTGTACAACCGCTCTGGCCTCGCCCGGACCTGCGGCTCAGTCCACAGACATCAAAAGTGCAGAACAGTCTTTTTCTTATGACTTCAACGCGGACTTCAAGGACGGACATGAGCCAGGGGACGGGGCCCACTGGTCAGGGCAGCCCCTGCCACACCAAGCAGCTGTGCCCAAATAAAATGTGGAACACATTTCGCCTAGGACAACAGGGATTCTGCCAACTTCAGGGTCCAGGCAGAGGCCCGCACCAAATTCCCAAGCCCGGGAAAGGATATGTTGCCTATGCAGCCGCTTCTCTCTGGGGGGAAATGAATTCAAATCTGGAATGTTTCACCATGCGGGTTTTGCCTAATTATGCATTTTTTCAAGCCTTAAACAAATAAAAACAAATGACCCTTTGGGTCCTCAGACCACCAGGATGTGAGTCAAACGAAAATTCGGGTTAACAGTCCCTCCTTCTTTCCCAATCAAAGACACTGAGAGTCGGGGAAGCGGTTGGCCCCGGAGTCCATTTCCGCCAGGCCACCCGAGGGGCGGACATTCCTTTTCCAGCGACAGCGCAGTGCTGGGCCACCTTCCCCGGCCATTAGACCCGGGGAGGGGCTTGCCTTTCAAAGACTTTTAATCCCCAGATAAAAATCATTCCTCAGCATCGCACCATTGAATTCGGGTTGCTATTATGCCGCGCAAAATAATCGGAGGAAACGAGGAAAACTCGGGAATTTCCCGTGCTCCTGAAATATCTCCAAGCTGGTTCGCCGGGCAGAGAAGCCGGGGGCCACCAGGCCTTGGCACAGCCGTGAAAGCGCCTTTGGGAGCGGAGTCCGCGGCAGTGGCCCTGGCGGAACCTCTGGGCGCCGCTTCCAACCCGTTCAGAGGGGGCGCCTCCCACTAATTGACTGGGTGCCCCGCCCCCTCCACTGGACCTGAGCACTCCCCTCCCCCTAACCCCCCCCCCAAAAGTACTAAGAATCTGCCTGAAACTTGGAGGTGGGGGGAGGGGAATTTTGCAAGAGCTCCAGAACCTTCCGGCGAAGAGATACTTTCTTGGGGGTGGCGGGGAGACACCAGGCTTCTACTATGAGAAAGTGAAACTCCGCGTGCAGGGAAGATGTCGGCGCCGCTGGGACCCACCCGCTGGGGTAACACGAGAGGTAGCAGGGCTTATGATCGGACAGGGGAGCAGGGACTCCCCAGGGTGGTTTGGTGGGGGCATGAGGACAGAGTGCTCGGACACCCGTGCCCAACAACTAAAGTCCCACCCGCACGGTCGCCTAGCCAAGGCCAGGAGCCCGCGAAAGTGGACCCAGCGCTGGGCCTTAGCCAGGTCTCGAACCATCTTCCTGGGTGGAAGTGGGAATGCGCAGACCCCGACCTACCCGCCATCGCAGACACCGCGCCGGCTCCAGGTACCCGC